CGCGGACACCTGGGGGTCCGCAAGGTTGGCTGAGGAGTCTGCCAGATATAAAAATAAATATATGAAGAGCCAGAGAGAAAAACGATATAAGTCCATTTTACAAATTTTTTTAGGAGAGCGAAAACAAAGTTTTTCTCTATAAATTTTTAAAATTAATAACATAAATCGCAAACTTAAAGTTATATTAAATTTTAGATTGTTAACTATAATTTTGTTTATATACCTAAAAAAATTTTCGTCTCTTAAAACTAATTCGACCAAGATCAGTGCTGCAAAAATTAGAAAATACAACTCTCATTACTTAGAAATGGGTTTCACGTTCACTGGCCCTGAGCAGCAGCCTAAACCTCAATGTGTAATTTGCTACGAAAGCCTTTCGAATGAGTGTATGAAACCAGCAAAACTACGTCTGCATCTTGAGACAAAGCATCCAGAGTACAAGAGTAAGTCATTTGATTTGTTTTTAAAACAAACTAGGAGAGCTTAAAAGATCTCGTAAAAACATTACTAAACACTATGGTGCAAATGTAAATGAAAATGCGACCCTTGTATCTTATGAGGTATCTCCGTTTGTCGCTAAATGTTGAAAAAAAAAAACATATAATTGCTAAAGAACTTATACTACCATCAGCAATAATTCTATGCAAGGGAATGTTGGATGATGCGGCTGTTAAGATAATAAGTACTGTTCCGCTCTCTAACAACACTGTCCAAAGACGAATTTCAGATATAGCCAATAACATTGAGGATACATTGCTGGTCAGACTTAGCATGAGCGACATATTTGCTCTTCAATTGGATGAAAGCACCGACATATCAAAAAAAGCAATAATGTGTTTTGTTCGATTTTTGTGGGAGGACCAGATATTGGAAGCTTTTCTTTTTTCATGCGAACTACTTCACACAACAGCAGCAGATATTTTTACTGCATTGAATGATTTTTTCAATAAACATGACGTCACATGGACAAAATGTGTTGGCTTGTCTATGAATGGAGCAAAATCAACGGCTGGCCACAAAGCAGAACTTCAAACTCGTGTCAAAGCAGTAGCTCCTGCGGTAAAATGGACACACTGCTGTATTCATCGTGAAGCCTTGGTAGCCAAAATATTGCCTGAACATTTGCAAAAGATACTTAACGAAGTAGTTCAAATTGTTAACTACATTAAAACTCGACCTCTGCAATCCAGATTGTTTTCTTTGTTGTGCAAAAAGATTGACAGTGAGTATGAACACCTTTTTATTCATACGGAAGTAAGGTGACTCTCTCAAGGGAGTATATTGACAAGACTTCTAATATGTCAAAAAACCCTTTAACCTTTAACTATTTACGGCAGACGTAACGTACCACAGTATTACTTTAGAAAATAAAAATAAATCACAAAAAGAAAGACTTGTTCGTGCACTGAATATCACTTCACTTTACTACATAATATATGAAATTATATTTCGTCCCACGCTCGCAATGTACAGTTCACGGCCAACCACCAATCCAAATGAAACTGAAACATCGGCAAATTTAAATTTGCCATATTTGGTAATTAAGTTCATATGGAAAGAAATGTATATTTGGTTGCTAATCAACCAATATTCAGTTGATTTTTCCAAGTAAAGTCAAGGTTGGGATCGGCTAGCCGAAAAAACAAAACGTGCTTTTTTAAGAATTCATAGGCGGATGGATGTCTCCGATATGATATCGGATCATCAATTTGAAAAATGTCTACGCAGGGATCACTTAACGCTCAGATTGGACGAATTCTTTTAAAAACCATGAATAAAATTTTATTTAGTCTGGTCGAATTCTTTTAAAAACCATGAATAAAATTATTTATTATCTTACAGATATTTTTTTAGTTCACAAAAACAAATGACATTAAATGATTACCTGCCACAATTATTTATTGAAATACTGATAAATTAAATATTGAAAAAATCTATAATATCTATAAAGATGTGGGTCGGCACTGCCGACCCTGACCGGCCGCCACTGCTTTAATCCATACAAAATTAATGCGTTTGTTAACTTTTTGCAGTTCTAAAATCCGTTTTTTAATTGCATATATGATATAATTGGAGGAGTAACTTGGGTATTTTGCCAAAACCAAGGGATTTAAAACAGACAGGGAGTCCGATATAATTAGTGCAGAATCAATTGTAGATTGTGATAAAAATGTCAACGCTTCGTAGATTGCAATAGCTTCAGCACTAAATATAGAAAATATGTTATCCAGTTTGTAGGAACAATTAATATTTTTGGAGGGAATATAAAAACAAAATAATAACAAAATTGAGCTGAGATCATATAAATCACTAAGGATATCTTGATTAGATTGAAGTGCGATACACAGTAGTGGAGAATTTTCGTAGTAAAGTTAAGTATTATAAAGAGCAATTTTATAATGCAATTTAGTGTTGCGTAAATTTCCACTGTGTAATCAATCGTTTTGTCGTCTATAGGTAAACATTCAGTATGAATCAATGTTTGTGATCTAATATCTACTTTGCAACAAACCAAACATTGTTTATTGCTTTTCGTGCTTATTTAAATCTACTCTGTTAATACGATACTTGTTTAGCATATTTTATTACTTAAAAATATCACTAGGTTACAGATATCTAATTATAGGTACTTTAAAATTCATAATCACACAATATTGTTTATTAGTTTATAAGAATATTATAATAATAAAAGTTTTAAACACTTAATAACAAATTTTGAAAGTGACTTCAATTTATCAATAAGTTTACGTACTTCTTACTGATTAAACAATGCATAAGGTGATCAACTTTTGTACTAAAGTTCATTATATCTGTTATTATATAAAATACCAGAACAGTGTAAAGTAGAATGTAACTGTAAGCTTCACAATTTAAAATAATGTAAAAATATACCGCCTTGCATCTAGAAATACGTGGTGGGAAAGAATCTATTGATATGAAATACCACAACGAATACGTTGACAACTATAAACATTTTTAATACAACAATAATGCCTGGTTAGAATATGAACTACTTGTTGACTTGTTGACACACTTGTTATGCACAACTAGTGCCAACCCTTAACACTAAAAAGATCCAATATATAATTGAAATACCAACACCCTTCTGTAATTCTATATTAGCTTAACTACATAACTATTACAACAACATTCAAACGTTCCCTAAAACAGATGAATTTAGCTTTTGACAATAAATTTGTAAAAATGCCAGCTTGTTGGTGATCAGACGGTACATACTTTAAAGGTTGTTGTAGGGGAAAGGATAAGGTAGCTGGTTCGATGATTTAAAAGTAAATATTTGAAAAACTATAGTCCCACCTGCCTACATTTGGTAGATAAAAAAATAAATATAAACCTCGAAGGACCAGCGAAAAATAGGTCGCAAAATTACGGATTAGTAATAATGTAGTAAAAAGTAAAATTGAAACTAGAATACTTAAAATTAGAATTAAGGTAGAAATATTTTTATTGTATTATTTACATGAATACATTATAGTATCGGAATTGCCAACAAATTACCCTTTTTAATGACAATAAAAACATAAATGTTCATAAAATTTACAACTGTTCCGCCTAATTGTTCTTAAAACTAATTAAATGCAATTTATAATGCAAAAAAGTTTGTAGTTTGTTATATATCCGGTAACCCTGTAAATTGCCGGACCGGCGTTTATGAAATGTTATTAATGTTGTTAATATAGTAAACTATTTAATAAAATCAGTTATTTGAAAACTGCTTCTATTTGAGAAACGTGCGAAGAACTATAACTTGAAGTAGTTAAACAAAACGTTTTCGGAATCCATATTGTGAACTATAACTTGCTTCTATTTGAGAAGCTGGAAAGGAAGTGTGACTTGCGTGCTTTTATTTGAGAAGGCAAAGACAAAGTACGTTCAGGGTACACTTAGTACAGACTCTGTGTATCGGGTTTGTTTTTAACAATTGAATTGTAAAAAACTGACAGACGCAGAAGATACGAAAGAGCGCGAAGAAGGAATGTCGTGCTGATCGTATAGTCTTTAATTTAGTAAGATATATTAGTGAGAATAATAATTATTATCGTTTATTTATTTAACAACTATTATAGAAAATACACTTAATTTTCTACAGTTGTTGCTTACTTCAGCGCTGACAAGCAGAACGAAGCGAAGCACGGTGTTGAAATAGGTGTATGTAGAGACTACTTGTACGATAGTTTTTGAAGTAATAACATCGAGTAGCAGTTCAGAAGTGAACCCAAGTGTTTAGCCTACGCAATAAATACAGACGAAGCTTTCCCTCTTCATGAGTATTTAATAAGAACCAATTTTTAGTTATGGAGTTCCGCAAATATCAAAGAAATCTTCATATTTCCTCTGAGCATTTGGATAAAGTAGTTTTAGCTACATGTTGCCTACATAATTTTATCAACATGTGGTTATTAACTGAAGATGTTGAAGTAAATAATGACGTAGAAATCCATCTAGTTCCCTATATTCGCGAAAACTTTTTACTTTTGACGCTGGTTCTGTATCGTGGTAGACTGAGATGGTTAGTGATAACAGTAATCATTAGATACTTGCTGATTCAGTAACATTTACTTTTTATTGAAATATATGTATAATAAAAGCCGTATTTAATGCGTCAACTAAAATGACTGCTATATTAGTGAAGCTGGTTACGTTTTGTCAGTATGACACACCCAAAGTAGTCGATGACTAATGAAATTCAAAATGATTTCCTATCAATATTTGACCTGTTTCACTTTGAATAAAATTTGAAGACATGCTTCTTCCATTTTCTTCATAGAAATTAAATTATATAAAAATTTATTACATACCCATACATTTTTCATCTCAATTTATTTACTGTTTGCTGTTTGTTGATTCAAATCACCTTGTTTCGTTGCCGCCAATGATTGACCATTCTTTGGCACATTTATGTTGTCCATTACTTTCTGGATATTATCTAAAAACTTTCAATATCCTTCGTAACTTTTAATCGTTTTTTTTATTTTTAGGCCAGAGACGATAGCGAGATAGAGACAGCACTAAACGCAGCTTTGGAACTTGGCTACCGTCACATCGACACAGCTGCCGCATACGGAAACGAACATGTCATCGGAAAAGTCTTGAAAAAATGGTTCGATTCTGGAAAATTGTCTAGAGACGATCTGTTCATTGTCACCAAACTACCAGCTCCAGGCATACATCCTGATAGGGTTGAAAAATATTTGACAAAATCGTTGGCTGATCTGCAGTTGGATTATCTCGATCTCTATCTTATACACTTTCCTGTTGGGATAAAAGAAGGAGAAGGGCCTCCACAATTCGAAAAAGAAGAGCACAAGGCATTATGGCAGGTAAGAGTTTTTATTTTTTATAAAATTAATATATATCACAACATTATACCAAACTTTTGAAACAATAAAGTTGGTTAATGTACATTTATATGTAATTTTCTTAGAGTTTTAGTTTTGTTATGATCGTAAAGGGCTTTCCCGAATCATTTTTATTATTTTGTTAAAGCCCTGCTTTTGAATGGCATTTTACATTCACTGAAACTGTAGGGCAACAAAATAAGTTGCTTGTACTGGGTAAATTATAAGTATGCAGCGAAATATGAGTCAAAATATAAACGAGTAACAAAAAATCAATTAATTAGGGAAATTAAGCATAGGAAAAGTCAAGGGATTGCACTAATTGATACCAAAATGAGAGAGAGAGAGAGAGAGAGAGAGAGAGAGAGAGAGAGAGAGAGAGAGAGAGAAAATCACTCATTACAAAAAGTTCCTAAGTTGTAAATTCCTGAACGGGTGAGTAGAGGAGGAAAGGAAATAAATATAAAAGATTATCGCTCTATTTTGGAATTTCATTTTATTTGCCAAAAATGTATTTGTTTCGAGGTATAATCCTGTTTCTATGAGCTGTTTGGTTGTAGTATGCTAAGTCTTATTAGTAGGGTGCTAACCTGGTTGTAGAGACCCTCCTCCATTATTCGGGCTTGGGACCGGCAACAGTTGTATGGAGCTACTCAATCCACCCAACAAAAGTGCAGGCGGATTTGTACCTAAAGAAAGCGCTTGACAGAATAAGACTCAAAAGATGTAATTCATCTTCTGTATAATAGAGAAGTTCCCCTAAATATAAAAACTATCGAAAACATCTACTAAAACAACAAAATGGAAGTCAGAATAGATGGACAGAACTTATAGAACTAGGCAGTGGAATAAGACAAGGGAACTCATTGAGCTCCTTCTCTTCAATTTGATAATGGATGAAATCATTAAAAGCGTTAACAAAAGAAGAGGATACATAATAAGAAAAAATAAATAAAAATACTGTTACGCAAACGACGCACTATTGATAGCCTAAGATGAATTTAGTCTGCAAAGACTGGTTCACAGATTTAACATAAGAGCAAAAGAATGTTGTCAATCTCATCTCAGAAAACTAAAACAATAGTAGTCAGCAAAGAACCAACCAGATGTAAAATATAAATTGATGGCATCAGTATTGAACAAGTAATGGAAATAAAATACCTGGGAATTACACTGTCTAGCTATGGAGACCTGGACAAAGAAGTGATAGATCAAGTACAAAAAGCAAAAGGAATGGCAGGATACCTTCATAATACTATATGGCGAAACAAACACATTAACACACGTTAAAATAGCAAGAGATAAGTCACAAATCGGCAGAAGAAATATCAGAAGACAGCGCAAAAGATGGAGTGACAACTTTCCATAGAAGTATTAATCAGCCAATGAACAAACAGGATTGCTTATAAAGAGGAGGAAGAAGAAGAGTTCATTTGTGATATATGTAGCAATTATTCTTTAACTTCAAGTCCACGTTTTTACAGGATTCCTTGTTAAATCTATCAACTACACTGTCATTTTTTGCTGATATTTTCCTTTTTTTATTTATTAATTGTATCATTTTAGAACATGGAAAAACAAGTTGATGCTGGCCGAACAAAAACTATTGGACTCTCCAATTTTAACGTAAAACAAATTGATAAATTTTTGAAATTTGCCAGAATTAAACCTGCTTGCAATCAAATCGAACTACACGTATTCTTACAACAACCAGAGCTGGTTCAGTTCTGCCAGAAAAACAATATTGTAGTGACGGCATATTCACCGCTTGGAAATCCGGGTTACAACACATTTTTGAAACGTATTGGAGTAGAGTAAGTTGATTAAAATATTATTCACTGTATTTTCACTACATATATCCATTAAAATAAAAGGCTTTGAATATTATCGCGGTATGATAGGTTTTAAACTGTTATGTTATTTTTATGTTATTTGTTATTGTTCGCTTAAAATAGACTACAACCGCAACAAAGAGATACTTATATCACGATTAACCACCAAAAAGTTATCTTTTTACCGGGTTTATAAAGATTTACTAATTTGTTTTGCACTTTTTTTAACTATATTAACATGTCGTGTTCGGTTTTCCGTTTTATCGTTAACTGGTATCTCTTAATATATTTTTAATGCTTTGTAGTTTTTAATTAAGAACTTTCTACCTTTAAATTTAAATAAAACGAAATATGTGTGAGACATCAATTTTTTATTCGTTTGAAAATCCTCTCGATCTTTATTAACAACCATACTATAATTATAGTAGATATAATATAATTGCACTCCTTTTTGCTATGTACCATGTACCATAACCTTAAACCGCCATGTACCATAACCTTAAACCGAAAATTTTATTCGACCGATATATTTTTAATTAGATGAAACTTGCGTTTTATTGAGTACGATGTGTAATAGTAAACCCGTCACAAGCAAAAAGTGTTTGATTATTCCATGTCGATACAAAGAGGTGGCGCTGGTGACAATGGTCCGACTGCGCTCAGCTGGTGCAAACCTTGATGTAGGAATGGAACATTTAAGAACTCGTTTCTGGCAGGGAGAGCTGAATGCGCTACCCCTGCTACAGGCAGGCTGCGACTCACGAACCCTTTGACAAACCCTACAAAATCGAACAAGACAGTACAAGGAGACAAACGTAGCAAATGCCTATTGAATATAAACCAATGGCTCCAAAATGGAAGAAGGCTCAGGATGCGGGATAAACTCCATATTATTGAACCTAAGAATAAAGTGGGTTATGGACAAAAATGCCAGTGGGTTATGTAGTTCAGACATAACTGGCTGGTATCTCCGTAGCCGCAAAGGAGATAACCCAAAAAGGTATTCTCATTCTTCTTAAGGTGCCTTCTCCATTACTGGAGGTTGGCCATAACTACAGCAAATTGCTCTCTATCTTGAGCTGTTCTTAGTATCGAATGTGTGTCCATGCCTGTCCAGTCTCTTACATTCTTCAACCAGGAGCGTTTTTTTCTTCCTGGACCTCTTCTTCCTTCCACTTTCCCTTCCATTATAAGTCGTAAGAGGTTGTATTTTTCTCCTCTGTAAATATGTCCTAGATAACTCGTTTTTCTGTTTTTTACAATATTTAGGAGCTCTGTCTCAGTATCCATTCTTCTTAGCACCTCGTTATTGGTCACATGTCAAAGGCTTCTATAAGCCTCATACTTGTAATTCCGAGAATCCATGTTTTCACTTCGTATAGCAATATGGAATAAATAAACGTTTTTATAAATTGGTATCGGATATCCAACGATAACGTAGAGTTTATTAGGAATTTTTTCGTTCGTTGAAATGCGGCCTACCATATTCTATACGAGCACGTATTTCGACCTCGTGGTCGAGATCGTTTGTTATCCAGCAACCAAGATACTGGAATCTTTGTACTGGTTCTATATGTTTGTTATAGATACGAATATTAATGTAATAAAAAGGGTGGAAAACTATAATAATCTGCACATATAGCAGACACGCGCTTCTACCCTTGAATAGACCACGTGTTACATCAGAGTTAGTAATGGAGTGTCACGAGCTACTAACTCAAGTTTCCATCATCCTGAGGTGGATTACAGGACACGGTAGGAATAAAGGCAACCGCATTGCTGATCAATTAGCTAGAAAGGCGGCAGGCCTAAGACTCTTAGGACCCTGGGGGACTTTTTGGTTGGTCAACTCTTTTTGATATACAATCGCGGAAATTGTCAAATGTCAGTCCCATACATAAAAAGATGGGAAGAAGGGCAAGGATCTAGACTTGCCAAGGTAACACTAAGTAACCTTGAAAAGTCAGCATCAAAGAAGTACTTGGGAATGACCAAGGTTTTTTAACTGGTCATTGTCAACTAAGCAAACACCTCCACACACTGTGGTTAGTAGACACACCTCTATGTAGGAAGTGTGAACGAGAAGACGAAACTATAGAGCATGTCCTATGTGAATACCCGGAGTTATCGTTAATACGAAAGTATTAACGTTCGGCGAGTCCTGGCCCACACCTGCCCACATAAGAGAGATGACTCCTAGTGACTTGTCTACCTTCCTAGAAATGGCAGGATGGACAATGAACTAAGGAAGACAGCTCTGGGAGGATGTATAATGGATCAATTCTAGCCTAAGTGCTGTGGAACTTAACTCGCCACTACCTACTCTACAGATAGAGATATTTCATGTCGGTACCTTATTTGTTATTTTCACTGGCTCAAGACAGGGATTTCTTAGCTCATCTTACGCTTTAACGATAGGAGTTTTTATCAACCGCAATGTTTTTCGTACAAAAATACGTCATGTTTTTAGTACAAACATTTTTGACAATCCACAAGGAATCTAAGTTCCTGTAGTTGGCTGTATACCATATATCAAAAAAATTTATTAAAAAAGGTATTTAATTTAAAAACCTACTCGGGCTATATCACAAAACGTTTTCGGAATCCATATTCCATCATCAGTGTCTAGGTATACATGTATGTAGCCACTAAATATGTGGGTAAAAACCCGTTAAAAATTGTTTGTTTAAATTTAGTTTACATTATGTGTTATTAATTATTATGATGTTAAAGTTACCGGTAGATTTGGTAACATGGCGACATATGACCCCAAGTGAAGTTGCTAGTCCTGAGACAGGTGTGTCTACGAGGACTTTATGAAAGCAACTCATTACTTTATTTTTTCAAAAACTAGACTTTCCTTGGTATTTTTATCTTAGTAATGTGTTTACATGCACTTTATTGTGATTTATGTTACTAACCTAGCCTAACATGTTTGTTTACAAAATGTCTATTCGAAAAAAATACTGACACTATTTTTTGATGAAAAGTACTATTACACCGTTATTATCTAAGTTTTTGTATCATAGTGACTAAATAATAATATACAAACTATACATTATATTTTTTTAGGGAGCGAACAGATTTAGTCAACGTACTCACCAACCCAATTATCACAGAAATAGCCAAAAAACACAACAGAAGCAATGCGCAGGTGGCTTTAAGATTCTTAATACAGAAAAACACCGTCGTCATTCCAAAAAGTGTCAATCCTGCAAGAATAAAGAGCAACTTTGAACTATACGATTTTAGTCTCGATGATGCAGATATGAAGAAAATTGAAACTCTAGATATTGGAGAAGCTGCTCGAATTGTCGACTGGAGAGTTTATCCTAAGTAAGTTTTCGAATATAAAAATAATATTGTGTAAAGTAGTTATGTTGTTTCCCATTTTCTGTTTTTCTAAAACGTAAAACGAGACATTTACGTGGAGTATTATGTAAGTGTGTGGAAAGTCAAGTGCTACGTGGAATTATATGTTAAAACCTTAAGTGAAATGACCTCTCATGACGATAAATGTCAAGTGACACGTCACGCTCCACATCAAATGTCATAAAAATGTCATTTTTAAATGTAACTTTTCACGTAAAATGTATTGTTTTACGCTTAGACAGGGAAAGAGAGAGGACGCGTAACCGTATCGCTTAAAGTGAAGCCAAACTGCCACCAGAGGAAGTGGTCAGCGGTGTATCTTTGTATTTTTAAGGATTGACTAATTCGTATTTAAAATGAAACATGTTTGTACATTAAATGTTTTATTTAATTTATTTTATTTCATACAATTATTTTGGAATCAAAATTAACGAAATTTATTTATTTATTTACTTATTTATGGAATATTTTATGGAATTTTAACCCTCAACGCCCACTGCCACTGGCAAATCATCATGGTCTGTGAGTGAAATTATTAATTATAATACAATTACTGAAATAACTATGCATATTTAGCATTCTTATTTAGTAATTTAGATCTCACCTTTCCTTAAAATACTAATTTAAATTGGTTTTGAAGTTTAAAATTGAAATAAAAAGTAAAATCAATTAATACCTAATTGCACTATTATAAATATTGACGATATTCCTGCTGTTTTCTGCTCGCTGCGATTTTTACAAAGAATATATGAACAATTCACCATTTTGTTAAGTAAAAAAACATAGGTATTTAATTCACTTCTTTTAAAAAAACACAAAAACAAAACTGGTGTCAGGTCGTTTATTTTTGTTTACCACCAAAAAAATGACGGACACATCAAAAAGTGGTATGGTATCACTTTATGAAGGTTAGTTGAACGAGCATTACCCGTCCTCTCTCTTTCTAAGGTTTTACGTATCAGCTTTAGATCATCGTAGTGTTAATAAGATTGCTTGTCACTTTATTTATTTATTATTGTACCAAGGATTAACATATAAATCTAAGGTAATCTTGCTCTGTATTATGATGTGTGTGTGCAATAACAGGTATAATGTCCCATTCCGCGCCGAATGTCACGTTTCAGGTTAAGTTTTACATAAATAATGTCACGCAGCATGTCACGCTCTATATCAAACGGTGATCAAACACCACATAAAATGTCTCCTTAATGTAACTTTTTACATAAAATGTCTAATTTTACTTATCGGGAGCAAGGTAGCGTAGTATTAATTAGATTTCATGATGCATCCTCTTTCCAATAAAACCTATCCTATATGCCATTTAAGCGTGAACTTAAAAAGCATTAAAAGTGACTAGAATGAACTTATCATTTTTTGTTACTTTCCCATAAGAAATAACATAAGACAACTTCACCAATGAGACCTTTCTCTCTACCATTAAACTAGTAAAATTTACTTTAATTTACAATTATTCTAATAATTCAAGATAGTAGGGTGATAAACACGACTCTTTGGCCTACACCCTTTCTTCCGGCGATCTAGCTCTATATCATATGGTATTTACTTCTCTAGATGTCTCATTACATGTCCGAAATACTCCAGCATTCGATAAGTTTGCTAGCTATTTTGTATCAATCTTTTTTAATCGACAAAATCAAAGTTAAAGTATATAAATAAGCTCCTTCCCATACAATTATCTCGTAGTGATCTAAACTATTGAAAAGAGCTTAGTGCAATAACATTATTGTTTCTATTTGCATTATACTAAAAAAATTATAGAATACAAACATCAAATATTTTTTCTTCAAATGTCAAATAATGATTACATTACTTATCTACTTGATCCTGTCAAAGTTTGATGTCTCCGCCGGCAGCAGTTTTTTTTTCCCATTTCTTTACGGCGCCGGAGGGAAAAATGTTGTCATGGCAACAATATGTCATTAACATACAAATATGTCACAAAGCAACAATACAAATGTCATTAACAACAATTAAACATCATTTTTATTTATTCGCTCCGTGCGTGACTGACGCGACACCTACCACCTTCATCTGACAATTTTGGAGTCTCAATTTTCAGGTTAAACATATGACATATGTTTGACATTGTTAAATACATGCGAGATTGACAATTATTAATAAATTAGTTTTTAACTATATTTTTTCAGTTTAAGTACAAAATAAATGTAGTATTAAAAACTGGGTTTCTCAAAATTCATCATAATGTATCTTTTCAACTCCAAACGGAAAAGAAAGGGAAAAATCTAGTACTGGCAAATCAAGTTTTTCACGCAAAAGAGCATATAATTAAAAACAATAATAGTAAAAGGTATGATATAAAAGCTAAAGTCATCTGCAGTTAGCTTGAAGCCTTATGAAATATCATTCAAGGTAAATTATTTAAATTTTTCCTATTTTAATTGCATAAAAATGAAATTATGTCATATTTACTTTTTCATATTAATAGCACGAATTCATCTTTTTCTTTTCTCTAATTTATATGTAATCTTTGGGAACCTATAAAAACTACACTCACTGTTTTTGCTATTATTAGCACAATTAAATACGCAACATGTATTTTCACACATTTTTGATAAAATTTATGCGTAAAAATATTTTGTCCAATATTCCAATTTTGTATTTCGCCGCTACGCACGCTGGCATCGTTTCAATGTACCCCTACCATGGTCACGCACGGAGCGAATAGTAATATTAAAAGTACAATTAGTTAATGAGGCATTTTCAAAATTGAAACCGTACAAAAATGTTCCCGACTCTTGATACGCATTGGTAATTGTTGATGATACTGATGGTCGAGAACAACTTTCAGCAATCATTCCCGATGTTGGCGAATCATGAGGGTTTAAAATTTTTTGAGCATTATCGTTCTTATTTAACCCCAATTAACAAAACAATCTGAAATATTTTTATAATTTAGTAGAGTATACTACATGCTTTGCAATATAATTTTTTTTTACCTTTAATCCTAAATACAACTTATCTGACGCTTCAAACAAAAATTTATCAAACTCGTCTTTAGTGAAAACTTTAGACTTCTTTGCAGTATATCCTTCGCTTGTTTTTTTTTCAGAAAGGCACGTAACTTTCAAAATTTGCTTATATCCACAATTTTTTCTAATAACTAACTCGGATTTTATCATAGAGTATCGTGACCACATTGTAGAAGATTTCCATTTATTTTCATTTTCCATTATATTAAAATATGTCAGTAAAACGTCTTCGGTAACTTGCCGTACTCCTCTTGTATTGCACCACTCTTGGAAGTGCTTGTACACTAACCGATATTTTATTCCGGACTTGGAGGGCCCCAAACGTGCTACTGCATCATTAGGCGCGGACTCAATTTCGTTTAGGTTTTCCATTTTCGCACTAGATTTGCGCTTGCGGTTGCAACAACCATAAGCTGTCTTTAATAATTGCAAACAACTGTAACCAGGGAGACGCCAATCCCATCGACGACTTAATTATCTCCGACACCGACTCTAACATCTAGACTACTTTGATAGTTGTCACAGTTAATTTCGAGTAAAAATAGCGTATGAATTGTACTATTTATGGTTGAAAATTGCTACGTTTGAAGAAAAAATAGTATACTTTATTCGGCAAAGAAACGACTTTTCTTGACTTGCCCTCATATATCGGGCGCGTCAAGAAAAGTCATGCTTCTCCGCATCAGAAAGTAATATACTATTATTTTATCCTTGCTACTATAACTGCTGTGCCATCTGTTTAAGAAACTATCAATATTCGAAAAATCATGAAGATTATTAAAATAAACGGAAAATAGTACCAAGATTAGACTTATAAGCAAGTACCGTCTTACTTTATTATATCTATATATGGTATCATGGTATATTCTTCTTCTTGTAGTTCCATGAACGTTTTAGAACGATAGATATCATGTTAGCTTCCATATTTGCTATCATTTATTGATAGCAGCAGTAAATAATGATTTTGTCAATTTTCCGTATCAATGCCTTTCCAAGTTTTTTAAGCGATGATGTCTATCTATATCAAGCTGTCTAGGTACTAAGGTAGTACCTAGACAGCTTGCTTTTTTTACTATATCGACCAGTTTTGATGTTTGGTTCAACCGCCTAAGAACCTCCCCATTGCTGCCTCTTTTTTCTCAGCTTATCTGTAGTAGTCATATCTTAAATACTTCCAAGCATTTAAGCGCGGCCTCACCTAGAGTCCACGCTTCTATTTTATATTAGTAATATATAATAGAATATCCATATATTATATATGTAATCGCAAGATACAATAATGTCATTTATATACATACAGGCGGGTATAAGAGATTTTTTGAAAGAAAAATCCGCAAAAGAATTTTTGGACTCTATCACTAGCCGAATACTAACCAATACCGAATGAGAACAAATGGTAAAACGATGTACAAATCAAAGCCGACCTGGACGAAGTTTATGGTGAGGTTATACCTTCGTTAACAACAGTAAAATTTTTGAAAGCCCAATTTGTTCATGGTCGTACGAGTGTTTTTGATGATGAGCGTCACGGGAGGCCAAATGAAGTCACTACGCCGGAAATGATCAAAAAAGTCCATGACATAATTATGGCAGATCCTCGAATTAAGCTCCACGAGTGAATAGAGGTCATAAATATTTCCTACGAATGCGTACACAACATCATTCACCATCATTTGGTCATGAAAAAGCTATATATTGGAAAAACAATCAATGGTGAGTACTAGGCAGCATTATTGGATCGATCCGATGCCGAATTGCGTTCGAAGACGCCCCGATTTGGAACACAAAAAAGTGCTCTTTCACCAAGACATGCGCCGGCTTGCCGATCAGAGCCACCGCCATGGCAAAATTACACGAATTGGGCTGTGAATTGGTTAAACATCCACCGTATTCGCCAGATCTTGCGGCCAGTGATTTTTTCCTGTTTCCAAACCTAAAAAATGGATCGGAGGACGCTTTTTCGCAACAAATGATGAAGTCGTCGGTGAAACTTCGGCCTAATTTGAAGAGCTCGAGTAAAAGTATTATTCGGATGGGATAAAAAGATTGGAACATCGTCTTACTAAGTGTATCGAGCAAAAAGAGGACTATGTTGAGAAATAAATCGATTTAATTCCAAAAAACTTGTTTTTCTGTCAAAGGCTAGTTTTATATCTATACACCCTTGTATATCCCTTGAGCCTAACCAATTAATAAAAATCTTGTTTTTTCTTTAATTATATATTTTAATAATATTTTTTATACTATAAATTAATATATTTTATATTTTTTGCAGGATTGATGAGCAACCAGAATATCCATTTGCAAAGAAGTAGTAATAATACCTACCTAAGTCGATTTATGTTTGCTTTAAAAGTTTTAATGATATAATGTTAACATGAATTAGACACACAAGTTTGTTAAAGCATAATGATGTTGTAAAATGCACTTTGCCATTATATTATAAATAAAACATAAAAACGTATTATTGTTTATTCAATTTACATCCCGTCCAAGTTGATTTCCTCTAGAGGGGAACATATTTCTCTTAGTTTTAGGTTTTTGCCTTTTTAAGGAAGGGAGTGGTATCACCCGGATGTTGGATGTAACTATTAAGAAAAATAGTAAATTATATTTAATAGTTATATTATAGTGCTTTAATAGACCATCAATGGGTGAATCCATAATACTTTGGTCCAGGCCGACGTGGGAGAGTCTGACATCAAGTCGTCCATCTATTATAATTATAATATATTTCCATTTAATTGTACCATTTCCATTTATTTTATTTCCACATTCCATTTATATTCTATTTATTTATTTATTTAAGGTAGCATTACCGTCTAAAATCCTAAAAAATGACACATTTTCAATAATTTTTTTTTTGTATATTATCCATTATATATGGCAATAAAACTTTTTATTATTATTATACAACCTTTAAAGATAACAAAAAAGAAATTTTTCATTGTTACTGTACCGATTTTAAAGACGGCACCCCAAATTTTTGGTCTAAAAATTACTGCTTGATGATGGACAAATAATTTCTGGAACCCCAAATCTTCTTCCTCGTTATAAGCAATTCTACTTGTTTATTGGCGGAATAATACCTCTGGAAATTGTCACTCCATCTTTTGCGCAGTCGTCCGATACTTCTTTTGCCGATTGGTGACTTGCTATTTTGACGACACAGGTCTCCTCCATTCTGATGATGTGGTTATTTCGTTCTTTTGTCTATTTTGTGTCCATTCATTTATACACTGTACGTTACATTTTCTTTTAATGTCTTCACTTCTCTTTCGATCTTTAAGTCTATTTTTTGTATTTTTTCTCAGTACTCTCATCTCTGCCGTTTCCAGTAGCCTTTGCGTTTTGGCTGTGTCTTGTTTCTGAGACATTTGTCATTATTGGTCTTACACTGGCTTTATAAATTATTGATTTCATATCTGTTAATGTGTCTGTTTAGCCATATAGTGTCATTAAAGCATCTTGTCAGTCTCTTTGCTTTTTGTTCTTGATCTCTCACTTCTTTATCTAGGTCTCCATAGCTAAACAGTGTAATTCCCAGATATTTAATTTCCTTTACTTGGTCAATACTGACGCCATCCATTTCATTGGGTTGGTTCTTTGCCGACTACTATTGGTTTAGTTTTCTGAGATGAGATTGCCATATTAAATTCTTTTACTCTTATGTTAAATCTGTGGACCAGTCTTTGCAGACTATCTTCATCTTGGGCTATCAACATTGTGTCGTCTGCGTAACAGAGTTTTGATTACTTTGTTTCCTATTTTGTATCCTCTTTCTTTGTTAACGTTTTTGATGATTTCATCCATAATTAAATTGAAGTGCATGGGGTTCAATGAATCCCCTGGTCTTATTCCGTTGCCTATTTCTATAACCGCAAATTTGAAATATATTATTCGAGAAAAGTTTTAAAAAAGTAGTGCCCCTACGTGATAGTTTACCAGAAAAATTTAAAATTCGTAAAAAACAAAATGGCGGACATTTGAAAAAATTGTTCAAGATTTGACATTTTTCGACTTTTGTTAGTCACAAAATTATAGTTTTTTTTTTGGTTATATTGTGGTAAACTGTCATAACGAAAACTAAATGCCGGCATCAAGTCATCGCCATAATAGAAGTAATAATTACTTCTTCGAATCGGGAAGGTTAGATATAAATAAAATAAATAATTTGTCGTAGACAACCAGACTTAGCAAAATAAGTCTATTTCTGAAGGCGCCCATGAAGAGAAATTAAAAGTTTCTTAGCACTCGCTATACAGAGTTGAACCACCGTATATTCCTAAACAATTATTTTAGCATTAAATTGTGGCTGAACCCCAAAAGGAACAATTATTTAAATTGTCAATGGTGGGGAGATGCGCGCCGAAATTGATATTAGGTACAAATCTAATTGCAAACGGCGAGAGTGCGCTATAATAGCTATTTATTTCGAGTCTCTTTACGCACTCACTGTCGGTTTTATTATGTCTATTGTTACTAAGTTTTTGTATTTATAATTAAACTTTTGGTGCGTCTTGGTCGTTGGTGAATACAGTATATACCTAAATAATATTTTGATTATTTCGTAATTTATTAATTGACAATGAATCAAATTAGTATTAACAAAAACTTTTTCGGTGGTTTTTCGTTAGAAAAAAGAACTACAAATTAAAGAACTTCTATACCTGATTTAAAAATTGAAAAGCAAAGTGAAAATAAACGAAAAGTTCGCTGTCGTAAATTTAATAAAACTATTTATAATAAAAATAGCTGGTTATTTGGTTGCGAACAAACTAATAAACTGTTTTGTTTTGTATGCGATTCGTTTGAAGGTGACGAGACTTGGTCAAACAAATTCAACGATGATCTTGTTCATATATGGGATAAAATGAAATCCCGTGAAAAATCTAAAGTGCACATGAATGTTTTCAATGCTTGGTAAGTTAAATATAAAAACACAGTTGTATTTGCCAGTTTGTCGCGTTACTTTAATTAAACACAACGAACAAGTGGATAAGAATCGATTTGTTTTGAATCAAATTATAAATTATATAAGGTTTTGTGGAGCTTTGAAGTTAGCTTTAAGAGATCACGACGAAAAAATCAATAAGTTAAATTTTCCAATAAAAAAGTTAACTTGTACCATTATTTGGTCAGAATATTTAAATTTTATTGAATAATGTATATTATTTATACAAATATATAATCATTATTATATAAATATATAATAATATTTAATAATTCTTCTGGTAAAATACAAAAAGATTGTTCCAAAATTTATTGTAAAACCATTTATTCAGAGAGTATAAAATTTATTAAAAAATAAATTTGCAATTGATGCGATATTATTCTTCTTCTTCTACGACACTACAGCCCAAAATGAGCCTTGACCTCCTTTATTTTTTGCCTCCACCCTTGTCTGTCTGTGGCTGCTCTTCTCCATACACGGACTCCTAAAAGTGCTTGTGCGTCGCTGCTTACTGCGTCTTCCCAGCGCTTTCTTGGCTTTCCAACTGGTCTCTTTCCCTGCATTCTGGCGTTCAGTGCTCGTTTTGGTAGCCTATACTCTCCCATTCGTATCACATGTCCGGCCCATTGCAATCTTTGTGTTCTAATGAAGTCTGACAGGGGTGTTTCCTTATACAGTTGATAGAGCTCGTTGTTATATCGAATTCTGAAGATTCCGTTTTCCCTCACAGGTCCTAGTATTCTCCTCAGTACTTTTCTTTCGAATGTGTCGAGTTTGTTTTTGGATGTTTCTTTCAGGACCCATGCTTCGCTGCCATAACATGCTATTGGCCGAATTAAAGTTTTATATATTCTCATCTTTGTATTTCGGTGGACACTTTTAGACCGAAATATATGGGAGAGGGCAAAATAAGCTTTGTTTGCCTGCGTTATCCTTTTTCGTATTTCTCCATCCTCTGCTCCATCGGCATATATTTCTACTCCCAGGTATGTAAACTTTCCAACCGTTTCAATGTCATCTTCATGTATAATGTTTTGTGGGATTATATTTCTTCTCGTCTGTACCATTATTTTTGTTTTTTCTGTGTTAATTTCCAGACCTAGCCTTTTCGTTTGTGTTTTTAACTCTGCGTATGTTTCCTGTGCTCCTGTTGATGTTCTACTCATAATATTAATATCATCGGCGTAGGCAGCCAGTTGAACCGTTTTATTGGTCAGTAGGTTTTCTCGTCCAGTTTGCATTTGCCTAACCGCATACTCCAGTGCCAGGTTAAACAATGTTGGTGCCAGTCCATCTCCCTGCTTTAGTCCCTGCGAGATTTTGAAAAAGTCTGTCCGGTTGTTTTGTATTCGTACACATGCCTGTGATATTATTACTACCATGTTATTCGTAATAGAGATAATTTTAACAATATTGCTGCACAAAAAATCTACAAAGCCAAAGTACATACGTATTGCTTCCCACACAACCCACAGATTGTACGACATTCCTCTCTAAAAGGTACCAGTTCGAAAATATGTCAAACTGTTAGCCAATCGAATCTGATTATTTTAAAAAAGGTACTAAAATTTGCAGGAGAAAGTAGGTATGTCTTTTCTGTCCTTTTTTTGTTACCTCCTGTGGCTTCTTCAGGATGCAATTTGTATGTATAAAATTTATGGAAGAAAGTCCTTATGTCTTTTCTGTCCTCTTTTTGATACCTAACCATCGAGCAAAAAGACATAAGACGGAATGTAAAGGTAGTGGGGGCACAAATATTGTTAGACAGAAAGTGCGATCTTTAGAGGCCACATTAAACAAGGAAAGAGAGTCTCTCTGTGGTCTCTCTCCTTGTTTGACATCAAATTTAGTTGGGTTATGTTATTGTTTGTCCCAAATGTCACATGAAATCTTATTTATATTGAAGTTTTTTAACAATTGTGTCGCATTTTAGACTCTTATCATTAATAATTAATTAAAACTTTCTCGTCTAAGACACATTCTGAAAAATATTATATAGCTACTGCTAATAAGTGTTCGCATTTCCGGATATGTCCGCCATCAAAGGCCACTTTTTTGGTCTCCTTTTCATAAGGATTAGATTCCCTCTTTTGCCTTTTTGCTCGATGTACCTAACTAATACTAAAGCAGGCACTAGGCAACATTGTAAATCCGAGATTATTTTTAGTCATTACATACTTTGCGTTTGGTATTTTGAAAAAAAAAGAAAAAAATAATTTACATGTACAAAAATTAAATAAACACAATTTATTCAAACAAATAATATTACTACACCAAATATACCCAGATTGATTAGTTATAGCGAACTTTTCATTCTGAAAACTCGTGAATTGGTTTGTCATAATTTAATAGAGCTATTATTAACTCTTGGTGTATATAAAGGAATGACAAACGACTTCGTTTTTGTTGGCTTAATGTGGATGCTGGTCTATTATACTTTAACGATTTCTTAAGGGGACAGTCTCATGCGATTAAAAAAAAGAGACACATTTTAAAATTAAAGCAGAAAAA